AGCCGTGTGAGCTAACCCGGAGCTAACGGGAGAATACACTCCCGTTGAAGAGCAGCCGGCACTGCAGCGGTCGGTAAATGCCGCTGAAACACATTAATAAACAATGAACCACGGCACTCTGGAGAAAAGTATAAGGTTGGAGAAGTCGTTATTTAATTTAATCTGGCTTCGTATGATTAAAAGCAACGCAGTCTCCGGCCCGTTGTTGTTGTGAGGTGAGCTCCGGCGTTGGGGAGAAACTCAGCGACGTAAACTGTGACGTCATGACGCAGTAGCGGCAGCACCAGTCGGGCTCTGAGCGGTGTGAAAAGAGCCGGCGCTAAACCGAAGAACCGGTTCTGAACCAGAAAAGCTCTAGCACGGAGCTTGAACCGGAGTTGCGTTGGTGTGAAAGGGGCATTAGAGATCAACTCAGTGAAAGCACTGCCTGCTGACCAATCAGAGCTCCGTGTGCGGAGTTTAAAGCGATCAATTCATATTACAGGATAGAGGAAATACAGAAAAACTGCCGTTGCAGGAAAGACGGCCGGCCAAAATCAACTGACTGTGTGAACGTGAAAATTAATAGAATATCCCCTCCCATCTTCAGAGCAATCTGACTATTATAATATTAGCGTTAAGAAAGCTTACTTAAATATCTGCCACGACATAAGTAACCGGATCAGAGTAACATTAAGTACAGTCCGCGGCACTGTGAGTGCAGACGTCGATGTGTCCCATTATCATTCATATCATATCACATCATAAAGTATCATATATTTCCTTATTTGAGTCAGCTTCTTGAGCCGTATCTGGCCGTGCAACACTCACAGTGTCACATACTGTATGCAGAAGTATTATTTTAAGCAACACATTAAGTTGACCCTAATTAAAGTCAGATCCACTCGTGTCTTGGACGGGGCAGTGATTTCATAAACCTGTTAATGTACGCATTCAAACACTTTTTCTTTTACCAGCTGTATTCACCTTGCAGGTGCTGCTATGTGGCTTTTATCCTGGATAAAGTGTTTAAGTCATGGATGTTTAAAGTTTAACTTCTTCATATTTGACTAATATTAAAGTTCACTTTTCATTCAGGAAGTATGACGCTGCGCTGTCAGTACGCTTGTCCGTGTTTGAGATTGGTCGAATGCTCCAAATACCACCCCTTTCATGTGAACGTGCACCTAACTAGATAGGACACGGCTGGCTTGAGCGATCCACTTGATAACCAGCGTCGTAGTACAGTTTAGCCAGAGCGCTTATGTTTTGGATTGGGCCAACCGGCTAACTCAAACATATCCAGGTTAGGTTGAACCAGCTTCGTAGTACAGGCCTCTGGTGTAGCAGGTCAGTCCGATTCCCTCATACTGTGGCAGGCAGAGACAAACGAATGCAGCTTTCTTTGAGTAATATCTTTAGTTTTTCATTTTCTTTTTTAAATATTTGAGGATGCTTAGGTTTTGGGAAGAATTATTTCTGTACAGGTTCAAATGTTTGGCATTGTGTGAGGAAGTGCTGCTCTGTTTCCACAGCAGTTCCTTCACACTGTTGGCATGATGATCGCTCCTCTTCTGACAGCCATGTTTTTTTGTACCTGCCTGTTTCTATGGCCAGGTTGTGAGCATTCAGTCAGTACATTGTCAAAATGTTTCTGTGTTTAAACTCTGTTGAAGTCTTTCTTTTGTCGGGCTTAACAGGATTAAATCATCTGCATAAAGCAGGAATTTGATCCCTGTTTTGTGAAGTGTGAGACCAGAGGCCTGTACTACGAAGCCGGTTCAACATAACCTGGATATGTTTGAGTTACCCGGTTTACCTGATCCAAAACAAACACGCTCTCGCTAAACGGTCCTACAACGCTGGTTATCAACTCGTTAACTCAAAAGGGGCGGGGTTAGCAACATTTGACCAATCACAAACATGGAGAAATAAGGTCCCATTACCCGGAAGTAAGTGGGCGTGACTTCGCCACTCTATAGAGAGGCAAAGTCCCGCCCATCTACATCCGACCCATGGGACCTTATTTCGGAAAAAGTATGTATTGAAGTCAATGGTGAGAGAAAGATAATTTTTCGATCCCGTTTGAATTGTGCCACGAATTACACATATGATGTTTGTCAATCTTAAAAAATAATTTCCATGTCGAAAAAGTCACAGTTTGTCGTAAAACTGTTGAAACATAAGACTATATGCAAAATACGCAACTAGAAAGACTACAAATCCCAGAATCCCGGTCCCGCATGCTGGCTCTTACGGAACCGACTAACTCCCCTTGTGTGTATGTACAGCTCTCAACATGCCCAGACTTGGAGTGATTTTCACCTCTTTTAATACTTTTTAATACTTTTCGCCTCATTCTGAAAGAAAGAAGTGAAATGTGTCAACGTGACGGCCGTCTTGGTGTGTGGTGCGAGACGGGAGATGTAGTTCATTGAGCGGTTTCACACTAAAAAAAGGGTTACTTCACAGTTTTATGACACATTTTAATTTTTTTGACTTGCAAAATTATCTTTTAAATTGACAAACATCATATGTGTAATTCGTGGCACAATTCAAACGGGATCGAAAGATAATCTTTCTCTCGCCATTGACTTCAATACATACTTTTTCCGAAATAAGGTCCCATGGAGGTCCCCCGGAAAGGGAGGGACTTCGCCTCTATATGACAGTTGGAGTCACGCCCCTTCTTTGTCAGTTCTCGTGTCTCTTGACCTGTGTGCATCTAATAAACAACGCCGAGATGAATGGCTAAACTTGAACTGTGAGAATAGTCACCTTCCTGCTGCAGATAGACAAAAGGTATACGTCTAAATCTGCTAACATCCCTTCTCTCCTATATGTCTAAGGTTTCTCCCAAAGAGAGAGACGAAGAAGGAAAGAGGCTTTTCATGTCCTTTAATGTCACACCTGACCAAAAATAACTCAAAACATCTTCAGATCCAGGAGTTCTCTGAGAGGTGAGACGCCTCGGGCACAGAGGGACATACATACAGTAATGAGGTTATCTCCAACACGGCGCCCTACCATTCTTCAAACAGCTCGGACAATAGGCCCCATTCAAGCCGTCACCTACATAATGTAGTGCACTTCATGGTTTTCCACTCTGAGGCCTGTTATCTTCATAATGCATAAACTCTGGACTGTCAGGAGATCCTCAAATGAAAAATTAATCCAAAACGTGGAGAAAATAAGAAGCTGAAAAAATAAAGGACGTTAATATTTACCAGATAGAGGCTTTTGCGTGAGTAAAATAAGAGCTTTCCACGGCATTGAGAGCATTTAATTCTGTATATTTACAACTTTTATCTTACATTCAGTCTGAGCAGAAACAGGTAGACTTTTTGGCACATATTTGACTCCCTCATAGTATCCCACATCATTACATGGATGTTACACACAGACACAGTTCAGAGGGACACAGAGGGGACACAAAACATCTCTTTTTTTAAACAACAGCTATCATTATCCCATCTGGTACACTCATACCAACATTTGGTTCTCTTTACAGCCATCAGAGGGGGCGAGAAGTAAAGTAAAGTCACTGAACAGACAGAAATCTGCTTTTTCCTCTCTTTTTTTTTAGCATTTTGGTGAAAAACAAGACCAGAGAGCCGCAGCTGCTGATGCGCATAAACATAATAGCTTCATAATGGAACTTATTTTATTTTCAGATATACAAGTTTGAATTAAAAGTTAAAAAATAATGTTCTTAATATTGAAAATAAGCACAACTCGTGTTTTTTTTCGAACTGAGACACGGTAAACCAGATGAATGGAGCCAATCAAAACACAGTTGAATCTTCTATTGTCTACAAGAAAGATGGATTTTCATAACATTTTAAGTAAAAACTCAAGTTTTTGACAGTATGTTGTTTCTCATCCATGAAACTGTAAACTGTAATTCATTTAAAGGCACGGTAAAACAAAAAGTCAAAATGTGTTTCCAGGTTCTAATTCTATATTGCAGTGTGAACTGTTAATTATTAATTCATCTATTATAAATACATGTAAAATAACCTTTGTGGAGTGTTTAAATACTCAAATACTTAAACGCTGTCTGTGTGTTTTTTCAATGGATTCTGGTAGCTTTGAATACAGCATTGATAAAGGCTTTAATCTCCCTTAGGAACGGGTTGTATGACAGCAAAGTAAAGCGGTAAGAATCCTCAAAATATAGCACTCACTTAACCTGATGTCGCTTTTTTAGATGGGCCTTTTATTTGGGTGTCTAAAATACGTTTCGCTGTTATCCCGACTGCGTTAATAAGTTAGCTTCCTTCCAATAAATAACTGGGGGCTTTCAAAACAACATCTACTATAGATAAAACACCAACTGTGAAAAAAAACTATCCCTTTAAATCTGTCTCATAACTCCATGACAATCGCCAATAAGTCACGTTAGATAGGAGGTTCTGTTTCACTGTGAATATAATTGGGTTCCTTTTAAGCAGCTTTTGTTTTTAAATGATCCAAGTTGTCAAAGATTATAATCAAGAAAATTAAATCTGAAATAACTGATCCAGAAAAATCACACAGACATATTTTCTCCACATGGTGAAATGTAACATATGTGACCCGTCGTTATGAAAGCTGTTTCTTTCCCTGCAGTGAAAAGCCGCTTGACTTTACACCGTACAAAATGTCAGCCGGTGTGTTCACACACACGTGCAGACAATAATTTCACGGTGACACACTCAAAGGGCTTCTGTTGGCTTCCTGACAGACGAACAGCTCCTCTCCTCCGGGGAAACAGAGACGTGACATTTGAAGGTCAGTGGACCAACAGAGTGCTACGTTTTCACTGTTTTACATAATATTCTTCATCTTTTCTTCCACTTATTTATCCAGAAAGCCAAATCGAAGAATGATCTGGACAAAGAGAATCAATCTCAGAGTATACACATGAACTTTAGAGTTTTTTCTTCTCCTTTTCTGCAGCTCAAGTCCACCAGTCTGCTTCTTCTGGATGTTATGTGTGTGTGTAAATGGCTGCAGGTATGTGTGTGTGTTTTTTTTTTAATTGTGTGTAGACATTCAGTACCCGGTAGCATTGGCATGTATGCTGAGTGTGGAGAAAGGTGGTGCTGATGCTGGAGCGGCGAAGCTGTAAGCAGCGTACGCCACGACGGAGCCCAACATCAAACCCGACATGTAGGAGACCGTCATGGTGTTTCCTGCAGAGAAACAGAGAAGAGAAGTGATAGACAAAGAGAATACATAACCTGCTTATCCGGAGAGAATGCTACTTAAAAATTCAAACTTTTTCTCTTTCTTATAGTGCTATTTATCAATAGTCAGCAGTGGAAGAAGTACTCACTTAAAGGTAGGGTAGGTAAGAATGGCTAAACCAGCTCGAGTGCGCTAGAATTTGAAAGTACACAACCAGAAAAAATCTGCCCCTTCCTTCAGACTTCCTTACAGAGCCCCTCCTCCAACACACACGAACGCGCACATGACCAATGAGGGCACGAGATAAGTTTGTGCACAGATGGAAGGCTGACAGGCAGGTAGGCCATCCATGCCGGGCCGGCTCAGATGATTGGTCGTGCTCAGATGATTGGTCGTGCTTTTTACAGTACTACGGCTTCCACAGATGCATTTCTTTATGTATTTATTGTCAAAGCATTTAAGATATTCATTGCTATCGGGATGTTAAGAGCATTCCATGGAATATAACAAAAAGTGTTTCTGAAGTGAATTACCTACCCCACCTTTAAGTAACAACTGTATAGTGTAGAAACACTCAGTTACAAGTCTGGCATTCAAGTAGAGCACAATTACTTCTAAAATGTTCAGTACTTGAGGGAAAGTATTTTTCAACCACTGAATCTGTTTTGTTTTGGTGTGACTTACAGATTGTTGGCGATGTCTGCCTTCCCTCCAGGATAATGGAACTAGATGGTGTCTTTTGAAAGGCGTCTCTAAATAGAATGAGTTATTATTATTATTATTATTATTAGTGACTCACCTGCCAGCTCTCTCTGTTCGGGCGGCACTCTCCCCGCGGCCTGGATCATCGGCACGGACCCGAAGTATCCGTTGGTGACTCCCATGAGGAGGGAGAAGATGCAGGGCCAGGCGGGGTGAGACAGGGTGGGAGCGCTGGCCGGGTAAACACACATGACGAAGAGGGGGATGAAGACCACCCTCAGACTGCAGCAGAAGAGCAGGCGGCCTCCGGACCAATCATAGGGCAGCGCTGCCAGGATCTGAGCAGAGAGAGAGAAAGAGGTGTGTTTTAGGGATGAGAGGTCTTACGCTTTTTGTTTGTAGTTTACAAAAAAAGAATATATATACAAAAATAAAAAGTTCAACAAGAATATGACGAATTGCTCTGAAAAGAAATGTGTGAAGTATACCAGAATTTGGTGGAAAAAAGGTAGCATTGAACGAATGTGCTGAGTAAATGTTAGCAAGACAAGTTTTTCTTAATCTCAATACTTTTTTTAAAGATTAGGTTAATAATGTATCATTTAACATGAACAACTATGGAAGAGGATAAGGGCAACCTGGGAACATTTTTGGGTGATTTGACCAAAACAAAAACAAAAATCTGAGTTCTGAATTTTTTCGATGAGAGATTTTTGCTGAGATTTTCAAATAAGAAAATCAGAATTATTTTTTTCAGAATTCTATAAAAGTCAGAACTGAATTTCCGTTTTACTTTTGGTTACATCCCGGAAAATGTCTCATGTGGCCCTAATCCTCTTCTGTAAACAATGGACCTCCAGCAAACACTAAAATCAATCAGTCATACACAAACCATTCCAACTAGATTTGATTTATAATAATTAAATATTAGTAAAGTAAAGTGAAGCTTAAATAATCCCCATCACAACACACAGTTTACTGACTAAATGTAACAGTACTATTTGCACTCAATGTACCAAAGTGAAAATCTATAAAGAGTTCTTAAAAAGTGAACAGGACATCCACCTCCGATCCCACGAGGACATTTGCCTTTGAATACAAAATACACTTGATCAACAGGGACACAAGCATTCATCATTTCTCACTATGACCTTGTCTTCATGTTTTCTTATATTCACATCGTAGCTCTTGGGAGATTTAATTGAGCATCTCGGCTCTACAGAGGCAGGAGGAGTCTAACACCACAGCCGACCTTGTGGAAATCTTAAAGGAGTTGCCCCATTTTATTAAACCTGGGATATATTTTTGGATCATTACACTTTGCTCAAAGGCTTTATGTGAATAAAAGAAAGCTTATCTGGTGCCCTTAAGGTATAATCTGACATTGAAAGGAAGAAAGTAGCTTGAGTTAACGCCATTTTCTTAAAGTTCAGGTTCATTTGTATTATCTAACAAATGGCCGGGATGTTAGAAAGCCCACACATTTATATCATAAGTTTGTTTGTTGATGTTATGTTATAAGCAGGGGTGCACATAACTGGTACGCAGGTACGCATGCGCGGCAACAATCTGAAATGCGTACCGTCACTTGTGTCACAAAGCGCATTTGCGTACCGACGTACTTGTGAAGCTTTTCCAGAAGGCGGTTAGATCACCGGACGACAGAGTCGGTCTCCGTGTGCACAGACAGGGCTGCTGTTAACGTCGGTCTGTACAGCAGCACTGCGCTAAAACAGCTGATCACAACGTTCACACGCTCTGTGGTCACGAAGCTCTGTACTCCACTACCACCCCCCCCCGTTGACATTCGCGATACAGAGGGCTTCATGGGAACTTTGAGGGGAGCCAGAAGTTGGAGTACCAAACACTGACTCCAGGTACTCATCTGAGTACCTCACTGAGAAAGTTGTGTGCACCCCTGGTTATAAGTGTCTTTCCTTTAAAGCTCCCGGTGAATTGAGCATGACGTCATTTAAAAATTATATATTTTTCATTAGTTTTACCAAAATAACTTGATTTAATTGTATTTAAAATAACATTTCCAAATAAATAAATCCTTCGAATCTGCCTGTTCAGTTTCTGTTGGAATGTGAAGGGTTAAATGAAAGAAGCTCATCTCTGCGAGTTACTGTGAAGACAGGAGCTGATTGGTGGTCCTGCTGTAAATTCACAGAGGGCCCGCTAGGGTAACTCAACGAGAGAGTAGTGTCAAATGACAGTACAATTGACCAATCATATCTTCCCTCTAAATGGGTGGGCTTTATTTTCGCGGACTTCATGACAAGTTCCGCCCGCTGTGAAGTTTATGCAAGTGGTGCAGTGACGCGTCCTAAAACCCGGAAGTAAGCTGCATGGGTTCCCTCGACACAAAGCAATGGGATTTCTCCATAGGATTTTGGAAAATAGCTCGAAATAAGGTCTGTGAAAAACGAACCTGTTAGATAAATGCACGTTTTGCTCAGCCGGATAATATCCACATGTCTACCCTACTTTTATAATTTTCTAATCATAAATCTAATCGATAGATTTATGATCGATAGATTTATGATTAGCATAAGTTCGTTCATGATGGCTCATGTCAGTGATAGTGATGCCATCGTTGCGAAATTATTAACCGAGTCATTTTCAAGATTGAGTTACAATGATAAACTGGAGTGGCAAAGGATCAGCTGCATGACCCGCCATCAAGTGCTTCATCCAAAAGGACAGGAGGTTGGACTTTGTGTTTAAGTGATTTGATCATCAAAGGTAGGCCTGAGTCATTTTCAATGTGGGCCACCGTGCGTGTAATTGTTACTTGGCTGTGGGTGCCCTGTCATGATAGGTGTTTATATAAATGGTGTTGTTTTGCTGTCATTGATGCGTTTTGCACCCCGGGCCGTTGTTTTGATATTCCGCTGAAGTATACGCTGAGACGTAATAACTCTTACAGAGGGCCTAGGTATAAAAGTCACGGCTCGCCACTGCTTAGTAGGCAGTAATGTCTCTAGTTTGTTAGCGGTGCTGGATGCTAGTGGTAGCTTAGTTGCTAACTTCTTTGTATTTGTGTATTTCACTCGCTTGTGTAATTCAATTGTATTGATTCTATAATTGTTTATTATAGATAATTGTGATAATTATTAATGCCATTCCTTGTTTGTACTATTGTTACAGACCACACGCACACATGGCTAACAGCAAGAACAAGTATAATTAAAGATCTAAACTGGGAAAGTCTGTTCTCCGTGTTCTTTTACTGGGACACACCCATCCACACCGTGCCATCTCTAAACCCAATGTCCTGGAGACCCCGTCTCCTTTACACGGGACATTTGTACAATTTTTTTTTATTCAGGGCATCTTTCCGCAATAAACCGTATTTAATTTTGTCTTAATTTACATTATTTCATTTCATATTCTGTTCTTGTACATATCGTACCATATTCTATTGAAATGTATATATAGACTTTTTGCACTACTTTTTATTTTATATTTTATTATCAAATCAAATCAAATCAAATCAAGTTTTATTTATCTTGCACATTTTTAAACAATTTTTGGTCGAGCCAAAGTGCTGTACATATAATAAAAATACCCTATAGTAAAGACACTTTACAGCAAATACAACAGCACAGTTTGTTCAGAATATCAGTATGAGAAAAACGACACCCTCTGTCCTTAGACCCTCACATCGTACAAGGAAAAACTTATAAAAAATATATTTTGCATTGTTGGAGGAGCTCGGGTCAGAAGAATTTCATTGCCATTTCTACACTGTAGCTTTGTGCATATGACAATAAAACCTTTGAATCTTGGATCTTTCTTTACTTCATAAAAGGTTCCTCTCACCTTGCCCACGAAGTCGGACATGTTGAAGGTGGCCATGATGAGGATGGGGAACCACTCTCCTAACGTGTGGTTTCTGATCTCGGACTCGAGGCCGGGGAACAGACACAGAGTGATGCTGTAGGTCACCGCGATGCTCAGCATGTAGGCCCAGATCACCCGGGAGACCACGTAACGATGCAGGATCATGTCTGGAGAGAGAACACACACACTATTTGAAAACCCTGAAGCTCTCATTTAAAGGTCCCCTATTATACTGTTTTTCATCAATATATTATAGCTCTCAGATATATACAAAACATGTCTCTGAAGTGTTTGGCTCCAAACACCAAACAGATATTTGCAGCATCCCATAATCCCCTCTGTTTCAGCCCTGTTTCAAAAGTGCTGATTCTCTGTGTGTTACTTTAGATGAAAATAAGGAGCCACTCCCCACGCCCCTCTGAGAGATATTTGGTTAAAAAGAACACAGTGGTGCTCTAGGAGGAGATTCAGGTGATACGGTGGTTGGTGATTGGCTAATGGTTACACAAGCCAAGAAATCGTTATGACATCATAAAGTGGCCAAAATCTGATCAACTCATTTTCAGACAGGTTTTTATTTAAATGGCTCAGGACAAAAAGTGAGAGAATCTTTGTTCCTGAAACTTCCAGAGTCTCTTTACACAGAGGGGACACATGTTGATGTAGAAGAGACATGAAGAAGAGGGGACACATGTTGATGTAGAAGAGACATGAAGAAGAGGGGACACATGTTGATGTAGAAGAGACATGAAGAAGAGGGGACACATGTTGATGTAGAAGAGACATGAAGAAGAGGGGACACATGTTGATGTAGAAGAGACATGAAGAAGAGGGGACACATGTTGATGTAGAAGAGACATGAAGAAGAGGGGACACATGTTGATGTAGAAGAGACATGAAGAAGAGGGGACACATGTTGATGTAGAAGAGACATGAAGAAGAGGGGACACATGTTGATGTAGAAGAGACATGAAGAAGAGGGGACACATGTTGATGTAGAGGAGACATGAAGAAGAGGGGACACATGTTGATGTAGAAGAGACATGAAGAAGAGGGGACACATGTTGATGTAGAAGAGACATGAAGAAGAGGGGACACATGTTGATGTAGAAGAGACATGAAGAAGTGGATTTAGCACAATAGGTGACCTTAAAACCCTGAAGCTATCACTTGAGCCGGTGCAGATTCACAAGGAGTCCTCGGCCCAGGGCATGCATTTAAATTCCACTTCCATCTGTTGGAGTACTAGGGTTTTAAAGTGGTGCAGGAATGAGTCCTTAACCCGGAAATGAGTTAGCCTTTTTAACACTTCCTGGCTCCCTCATCTCAAAGTCAACCTTTTAAATGTGTTTTTGGTTAGATGCCTGATGCCCATTCTATTTAGAAATGAAATTCTATTATATTCTATTTTATTTACTTGCACTATTATCTGTGTTATTGTTGTTGCTCTGTTGGAGGAGCCTGTGACCTAAGAATGTCATTGACATAACTACACTCTATGTACAAATGACAATAAAAGCCTTGAATCCTTGAAATGAGTATTAAAAGACAGGGTACCTCGGACCCTGGGCCAGCTCCTCCTTATCTTTGCTTTCGGGGCGTCGAATCGAACATACGTCCCGCCCTCAAAGTCCTCGACGACTTCCTCTGCAGAGGTCGGCGCTGTGGCTCCATTTCCCTGAAGAGAGAGACATACAGAGGGATTACTCAATTGTTTTTAAATCAAACAAACAGGCAGAGAAAACCTTTGAGTCCAGTCATCGATATTACTTTGTGTTTTGAAATGGTTTAGGTTACAGATTTCTAGGTGCCGTTATAATAAGTAATGTCAGTATTTCGATTACTTCATGAGAACAACGTCACGACTCACGTGTTACATTATGACTTATTGAAATGTAAAGGAATATTTAATGAGTGGGAAGGCGGTAATATTATAATTATTATTATTATATATAATTACATTCAAGAGAAAGAAAATCTTCTGAGATTATAAAAAGACATGTGGAAGAATAGTGATGTGGTTCTTTTGTCAATAAACCACATGCCTTCACTTTGCATTTCCTGAACATCATTTCAAGGCTTTTTGAAGTACATTACCAGTTCATTAGGGCAACACTAGATGTAGCCGTCACACAGTAAAAAACACAATTCTCTTACAGTGAAATGTATCTTTTTTCACTAAGAATGGCTTCCTGGCTGCATGACATCAGCTGTTTTTGTTTATGGGGGAGAGACCATCACTGGGAGTGGCTGTAGGTTGACGTAATGATGTTGGACACACACACACACACACACACACACACACACACACACACACACACACACACACACACACACACACACACACACACACAAACACACACACACACACACACACACACACACACACACAGAGACACACACACACACACACACACACACACACACACACACACACACACACACACACACACACACACACACACACACACACCACACACAGGCATAGAAAAGCAATTTTTTTTTCCTGCTTTCATAACACACACTTCTTCATATGCACATCACACAGAGACACACAGGTGTGCACAGGCAATTACACGTGCACACACACACACACACACACACACACACACACACACACACACACACACACACACACACACACACACACACACACACACACACACACACAGCGATCCATTAGTTGATTAGAGGGGACTTGCAGGGCCAGAAGGCACCACTCTTCTTGATTATCCCTCAGCAAAGAACCACGGTTTCCCCCGGCAACCAGAACAAAGAGCTGCCTGAATCATCCTCCAGACACACACACACACACACACACACACACACACACACACACACACACACACACACACACACACACACACACACACACACACACACACACACACACACACACACACACACACACACACACACACACACACACTCCATGTCTTCAGGCTACAAGTGATGCTTCAAGCAGGAATACAAAGTGTCTCCACCTCCTCTTCTGTCATGTCTCTGTCTCACCTCCTCGCCTCAACAGTTTTCTCCCAACCTTGTTTCCTCTCAGAGTCGTGACTCTCATTTTCTGTCTGTTTGCAGGAGCCTCCTCCTCTTCCTCATGTGTCTTTATCTTATTTATTTTGGCGTCCAAAAAGCAGCCTGTAGCTTAAATAAATGATTCTGCACAGCCCTCGATCCCTGAAGAGGATACGCTCCTCACAGACTTCGACATGAAGTGGGCGATGCTTGACAGCTCAGTTTAAACGGCTGACATTTCCCCTTCCTGAAGAAACAGTCTGTGGTGGAATCATTAATAACGGGATTAATGAATGAGGGAGAAGCTTTAATGAGAGTAGCTCGTCCAGTGTTAAGAGGTTGCAGCTCAAAGAAGTGAGGGGAGTAGGGGAATAATCAGAGTAAAAACTCAGAATCTACAAGATTAAGATGGTCCATTTATAATTAAAAAAATTGTCAATTTGAAAAAAAAAGAATCCTGAATATATATAGTAAACAATGTCGAAAGATGGTGTTCTTTTATTGTCAAGGAACGACCTGGCTTCACTTTGCAAGGTTGGATCGTGTATCGTGGCTGCAGTGGAAGACCTAATTAAATTATACTTTGCAATCAGATTTAACATTTAGAAAACACATGTGATTTAAAGTGGACCTATCATGCTATATTTGAATAATATAGTATAGGACCATACCTATAAGGCATATTTATACTTTTTTTTTTTCAAAATACCAAACAGATCATGCATTTTAGCCATGCCTCATTTTGCTCAATTTGACATTTTTTTACCCCTGTTTTAGCAAGGGCTGATTCTGTGAGAACAGCACCATCTACAGGCCTGGCATATGTACTACAGCGTCTCCAGCGCTTTCGAACGGCAATGTCCGTGGCTGTCTCCTCCTGATTGGTGGAGTTGGCCCAATAGCCGTAGCGCCACTGTCCTGACGTCAGGACAGTGTTCAAATCTGGATCAGTTTTTATCAGATCTGTTGCAGCCCCTTTTTTAGAGATTTGGGTATGGAGGAAAATAGAGAGGGTTGTGTTTTCTGACACTTGGTGAGTTCCCTGGAACACCGGGGACACATATTCATGTATAAAAGACGTACAAAAGTGCATTTTGCATGATAGGTCCCCTTTAAAGCTCAGAATCAACATATTATCATCAGCATCTGGTCTTGGAAGAGACATCGTTTTGAATTGGGCTTTTTTTATTAAATAACATACAGTGTTGGATGTTCCATAGTGTTGTACCAAAATGGCTACTACATTTAAAAAAGAATCTCCTCCCTCCATACATTATTTATTTTTGTACCTACATTGACCCTGATATGCCATCGTAGGATTCATCCTCAGAGGATCATGAATGCCTCTACGAAATGTAAAAGCATCCAATAGTGGTTGAGATATTAGCAGAATAATCAACCAACATCATCACCATCCAATACTTTTCTCATTTCTATTCTCCTACATTTCTGGGAATAACCGACCCCTCTGTACACGGCTCCATAAAGATTGACTCTAACACGGCATTGTAGGATTCATCCTCAGAGGACCATGAATGCCTCTACCCCAGCGGTTCCTAACCTGTGGGCCGCGGCCCGAATGCATTGCAAGTGGGCCGCAAAATCATTTGCAAAACATTATGATTTGTGTGGAAACATTTAATTATTAAGATTTTATTTTCTCTTTCTTGATCCTCCTTAGCAACGGTCAGTACAGTCCTTGACAACGGTCTGTACTACTGGATGTCACATGTTCTGAATGGACCAATCCAAACTTTATTTAGCCTCCGTATTGTTTATGGTTGAACGTGGGCCGCACATTTTTTTTAGATTCTTAAGTGGGCCCTGAGTTGAAAAAGGTTGGGTACCGCTGCTCTACCCAATTAAAAGGCAATCCATAAAACAACTGTTGAGATATTCAGCGGAACAATTGAATAACATTGCCATTCATAAAGCCACTAGCAAAGACTATCCTAGACACTTATACAACCAGTATAGTCGATTAACTCTCCACAAACTTACAAATCTTACTTCCTCTGCGGTGACGTCGTGGTGCACTCTGTATCCGGTGCTGTTGTCTCGTGCGTCGGGAAGTTTCCCCGCTCCTTTTCCTTGGGCGTGGCTGGTGTAGTAACGGACGAACTGAGTGCGGCGCACCAGCAAGTGGAGCAGGAAGCAGAGCATCTCCATACTGATGGACACCAGGAAGAAGATGAGCGTGTTCCTCCTCTCGTCCGGGATCAGCAGCTTGGTGAAGATGCGTGACAGAGAGATGATCACGCCTGCTGTGCCTGGAGGAGAGGAGCAGGAAGTGAAAGAGAGCCTCAAAACTCACCTGTTCAGATGAACCTACTCACTGCTGTGCTAAACATCATGTTTGCTTCTTCTACTGTAAATTATACAAAACGATAACAAATGATACAAAACAATATGATACTACACGATGTGAAAGAACAACATAATATTAAACGATACATTACGAGACTATATCATATGATAGTACAAGATGAGATACGATACGATATGCTACGATACGAAAATACTTTATCATCAGAACACATCTGTAATTTTTTTCTTGCATCGCAGCAGCTCCATTTGCAACATCAACAAAGACAAGAAGCAAGAAAACAGATATTTGACATAACATAACAATCACTGAAGACAATATGTTCAAGACCCTTTAACGTACATTTGAACTGGGATTTAACTCTGCATTTAATCTTAGGATTGACTCATGCACCACAGGAAGAGGAAAACCCCCAAAAAGCTTAATAGGGCCTCTTTAAATGTCTGTTTTTTCTTGTTTTTTGTCGTAATATTTGTCTTTTTAGATGTGGAATGGAAGCTGCTGTGATGCAAGACCAATTAAAGACCTTATCTGAGAGTAAAGTATCATCATATTGCATCGTGCACATTAATGAGTCAGTGTGAGTGTACTTACTCTCTCCGGTCATCACCCCCTGTGTGTACCTCTTGGGCAGCATCCCCATGTAACCATAGAAACTGGACTGCTGCACTGAGGAGGGAAGACGAAGTCTTTTTCAAACAGTTAAACACTTTAACAATACTATTTATTAACACGACTCCTGGACCTCACACACTGGGGAGGAGACTCTCTGGCCTCGGCTAATGAACCTGTTACTGCTGCTGGCTGGAGGCTGAGTCACTGCGAGAATCAGTGTGAAAACAGTAGACTGCAGACTCCACTGAGTATCTGACAGCTCAGCACTAAGAGCACCAAAATGTTGCATTACTCTCTTCAGTGGGTATAGAAACGATGGCCAGATTATCATGTTCGTTAGAGCCTCCCCATGTAACAGGGGTCATAGAGAAACATGATGTATTGAAGTCAATGGGGAGAGAAAACGTATCTTTCGATCCCGTTTGAATTGTGCCACGAATTACACACATGATGTTTGTCAATCTTAAAGAATAATTTCCATGTCAAAAAAGTCACAGTTTGTCATAAAACTGTTGAAATATAAGACTATGAAAAATACGCAACTAGAAAGACTACAAATCCCAGAATCCCGGTCCCGCATGCTGGCTCTTACGAACAGACTAACTCCCCTTGTGTGTATGTACAGCTCTCAACATGCCCAGACTTGAAGTGATTTTTACCTCTTTTAATACTTTTCGCCTCATTCTGAAAGAAAGAAGTGAAATGTGTCAACGTGACGGCCGTCTTGGTGTGTGGTGCGAGACGGGAGATGTAGTTCATTGAGCGGTTTCACACAAAAAAAGTGTTACTTCACAGTTTTATGACACATTTTTATTTTTTTGACTTCGTGGCACAATTCAAACGGGATCGAAAGATAATCTTTCTCTCGCCTTTGACTTCAATACATAATTTTTCCGAAATAAGGTCCCATGGAGCTCCCCTGGAAAGGGAGGGACTTCGCCTCTCTATATGATTTTCATTGCCATTTCTACACTGTAGCTTATGACATTAAAACCTTTGAATCTTGAATCTTGAATCGTGTTGGGAAATATGGGAGGTAGATATGGAGGTAGAAAAAGCATTTTTATTATTATTATTATTATTATTATTATTATTATTATTATTAGTACCTGTACATCCGAAGGCCACCACTCCCACTGACACCAGGTTGACGACGTAAGCCTGTCCTGTGGTGAACTTGGCCAGCCACACATCAAACACGCTGACAAAGAGCAGCGGCCCGAGAGCCAGGATGTAACCTGCAGACACACACACACACACACACACACACACACACACACACACACCACACACACACACACACACACACACACACACACACACACACACACACACACACACCACACACACACACACACACACACACACACACACACACACACACACACACACACACACACACACACACAGACAGACAGTGAGGAGGAGACCAGGTCATGTTAGGATCGCATGATTTAGCACATATTTGACAGCCGTATCGTTTCCATCTGACGTCCGACGGGAGTCTCTGAGCTCCAGAGACTCTCCAGCAGACAACACACTTCAAAAGACATTTCCTCCAGGATGCAAGCGGAGCTATTTTAGGCTGCAGAGGGATGTGGAGGTGGTGATGGTAAAACCTCCTAGGGGGGACATACATTTTTAAAGAGTTTCTTTTTTCTTCATATCGGAAGACTGAACAGCTTAATATTAGCAAAGGCGTGTAGTAGCATTATAAAACAGATTTGTATTGAATAATTTAGAGACAAATTTGAATTTCTCCAGTGTTATGCTTAGTCTTTAAGAAACCTGAAGCATAATCTGCCTGCATTTTAAGAGGTTGTGTTTTAAATATGGGGTTTTGGTTTGTTTGTCAGCAGGATTACTTTAAAGGGGCCCTATTAGGGTCATTTTCAGGTTCATATCAGTATGTAGTGTCTCTACTTTAAAGAGTCCTCTCCTGCTGATGTTCAGGTGTATATTAGTATGTAGTGTCTCTACTTTAAAGAGTCCTCTCCTGCTGATGTTCAGGTGTATATCAGTATGTAGTGTCTCTACTTTAAAGAGTCCTCTCCTGCTGATGTTCAGGTGTATATCAGTATGTAGTGTCTCTACTTTTAAGAGTCCTCTCCTGCTGATGTTCAGGTGTATATCAGTATGTAGTGTCTCTACTTTAAAGAGTCCTCTCCTGCTGATGTTCAGGTGTATATCAGTATGTAGTGTCTCTACTTTAAAGAGTCCTCTCCTGCTGATGTTCAGGTGTATATCAGTATGTAGTGTCTCTACTTTAAAGAGTCCTCTCCTGCTAATGTTCAGGTGTATATCAGTATGTAGTGTCTCTACTTTAAAGAGTCCTCTCCTGCTGATGTTCAGGTGTATATCAGTATGTAGTGTCTCTACTTTAAAGAGTCCTCTCCTGCTGATGTTCAGGTGTATATCAGTATGTAGTGTCTCTACTTTAAAGAGTCCTCTCCTGCTGATGTTCAGGTGTATATCAGTATGTAGTGTCTCTACTTTAAAGAGTCCTCTCCTGCTGATGTTCAGGTGTATATCAGTATGTAGTGTCTCTACTGGGACGTGTCTCCATGCTTTAATGTTCAAAAAGCTCTTTATTTTTCTCATACTTCCTGTGCTGCAGCACCTCTTTTCACCCTCCGTCTGAAACCAGAGCCCAGTCTGCTCTGATTGATTAGCTGGCCGGCTCTCTTGTGATTGGTCAACCGCTTAGAGATGTCCCGCCCCTTACCCTCACATACAATGTGTGGGAGCGCTAGCCAATACAAGCGTGAGTGTTACATAATGATGTCACTAAGTTCAGGATGTAAACAAAGGAGTCAAATTGAGGCGTTTCAGGCAGGGGGGGGGGGGAAGAGAAACTCCCTCTGGAGGGAACTTTGGGATTTTAGCCTTTGCACACCATTAACATGCACACAAATCTATACAACACACTACAGGAAATGGAAAACCCTGTAAAGAATAGGACCCCTTTAAATGGTCTAGCTTGGGCCAAGGTATCTCTGTTATGTTGCTTACTTTATATATTAACGTACGTCATAATGCTGCTATTTATTTACATATTATTTTCTTACTATGTATGTGTACATATTTTAATCTTGTGTGCTTGCCTCTTAATTTATTATGTTCTCCAAAGTGGCATTGAAGTCTGAAAGGTTTACTTAAATAGCACAGTAAGTTTGCTTTAAGAGTGTTTTGAAAACTGACAGCAAGATTTTTAAACACAGCCCCTTGTGAAAACACTGTCAAAGCTTGTTTGAAACATTTTATGAATAAAACAGAGAAAATAAGACGTTTGTTTCTCGATCTTTTATACCGTACTCACAGTTTTTTGCTCTGTGTATTCTGCTCTGATAAGCGTCTTGCTTCCCAGAGGGTCATTAATAAATGACAGCAGAAGTTTCCATAATGAGAACTTCTTCCTGATTAAAGTGTGTTCCTGACTCACCCACAGTGATCCTGGTGTGCAGACTGAGCCGCTCCACCAGCACGTTGTTCAGGATGACGGCCATCAGAGCCACCAGGATGTACGTCAGACTCAGGTCGAACACGATGGACGTCCCTGAAACACACACACACACACACACACACACACACACACACACACACACACACACACACACACACACACACACACACACACACACACACACACACACACACACACACACACACACACACACACACACACACACACACACACACACACACACACGAGTTTGATAGGAGTTAGGACTGTAAGTTATCTACGAGGCAAAAATCTAGAGTACATCTGTTCTGTCTTTGAGATTAATGTATTTTATGCATGGTCTTTGTTCATCAAAGACATAAAGTGAAGTACAAAAATGGAACACTAATTGGTAAATGGACTGTATTGATACGTATAGCCTTTAACCAGTCCTTACGACCCCTCAAAGGGCTTTACAGTTACAACACATCATTCAACCGTTCAAACAGAGAAATGTGCCACTTGTTCGCGGAAGCTAACATTCACACAACTCACACAAAAGTAATTTGCCCAAAGATAGTTAACTGCATATTGACTGGAATCTAACTAACAACCTTCTGATTGAAAGACGACCGCACTACCTCACAGCCACAGTTGCCAAACCTTCTTATTGCATTTGCCTTTTTATCTCATTTATCACATTTCCAAGTTTGACCCCAACTTCCTCCCGGCTTTGTTGATGCTGTAAGAGTCCAAATGCTTATTTAGCCCAATTGTTCAATCGTTAATAACTTGGGTTACTGGGTGTGATTTAATGGTATTTAGTCCATCTGTTGTAGGAAATGTGGATGACATAGAAGGTCAACTTATTCAGAGATTGTTTATTAACTTAAGTTAAACATCCTAAAACGAGTGACAGTGACGAGCCTAGTTCAGCCTTTAAGATGAGGCTTAAGCTAAGTGTCGGAAAAATGTCAGACGTCATGCCAGTAATTCAGAAATCATCAAAATGATGCTGAGATGTTATAATAACGTTAAAAAAACTCTGATTTCTCTTAACAGTTTAATACACACATGTATTTGTTTAACTACCCCCAAAGAATAAGTAAATACCAGTCATTTCAAATTGAGATTAATTAAGATTAATACCTGATTATTGTTGTGATTCATTTACATTTTTGAATCGACTGTCACCCCCAACATGAATATACGTGCACTCTGCAGGTGTGCATGTACAATTCCTGCACTCTCCATAGGTGCATGGCTTGGTTCATGCATATTAATACCTTGAAACTTGTGGTGCAGGTAGTCCACGTCGGTGATGAAGCTGTTGTACGGGAGCAGGAAACCCACGCCAGCCAATAGCATTGCAAAGTAGATGCCATGGTAACGGTCGTCAGGGATCGGCTCCTCAAAGTCTGAGCGGGGAAGCAGAGTCAGGGGTTAGAGAATCACTACGAGGCTGAAATCACACTCAAACAGCGGGGATAGGAATGATCAAAATGTCTGAATTAGGTCTAAAGCAAACACACTCCATCTTCATTAACACTAATCAGGATGAATGGAGCTGTAGCAGAGAGACGCTGATTCAGAGGACTCTGTTCCTGCAGCTGATTCATCAGAAGGGGTTCAGATGGTGTTGCAGCTGAGTCTGTTCCATGGTTAAAGTGAGATGAGCTGGTTTATTATATAACTGTGTCCAATCCTAATCCCGTGATCCCACTATTAAACGCTCAAAATCATGTTTTTATTTATTCAACAGCTGTCTTTTAAAGGTTTTCTGTAGATATGCAATGTTACTGAGCACAAGTGTTGTACTTCATTGCTATTGTACAGTATGCTGAACAACAGTTTAAGAAAACTTCAAAAGGCAGATATAGGCGAAGATACAAGAGCAACAGTAGTAATTGGTGAAAGATCTTGAAACAGCGTGTGTCAATACCTCAAACTTCACAATAAAAATAAAGGGTAAGGGTCTAGACTTAGCACTATTGGAACTTGATCAGGGAACTTCAGCTGAACTTACCATAGACTGACAGATCAGTTTAAAGGGCCCATGTCATGCTTTTCCGGTTATTACCCGTCCCCTTGTGTGTTATGAAGGTTTTTATGCATGTAAACGGTCTGCAGAGTCAAAAACTCTCAAAGTACACCCTGTAGCGAGTAAAACTCTAACACAGAAAAGACCTGTCTATGCTGCCCCAGAACGCCTCGTTGGAGATTCCTCATTTTCCATTGTTTGCTTCCTGGGTTCTGTGACGTGTGAACACCCAAATCAACAACAAATGACCGGATTGGCCCAAATGGACCAATCCCCGGAGCACCTCACACACCAGGATCCCTTGGCTAACTAGCAGGGAGTCCCCATTGACTTGCATAGAGCTCCCTGAACGCTGGTAATAGACGGGTTTGGATGGCGGAGAAATGCTCTCCGCAGACCCATTCTCACAGCGTTATAAACCTTTTTCTTCCTCAATATCAAGCCACACTTATTGTTTTTACTTCGGCTGCGAGTCTTTGTGTGTGCTCAGGATGAGTTTCGCTTGTTCTCGCTGTATCGCCGACCCGGAAACCTGTCCGCAACGTCCCGACCAATCAGAGCACACTGCGCTCACAGGGAGGGGGGGGCAGGAGCTCCAACAAGCCGTTTAGGACAGAGAGTGAATACCTGGTGAATACACATACTATACAGAGATGCTGTATGAGAAACCAATGTGAGTTTGGAAAATTGCACAATTTAAATCTGTTCTAGTATACCTCAACAATGGAAATATGATCAGTAGAAATGGCCATGACATGGGCCCTTTAAACATCTTCAAGCTCGCCACTGATTGACTGCACAGGGCACAAATGAATACTTAACTAAATATTAAAAGCCCACTTGCATGATGCATAATGAGACTTTTTTTGGACACATTCAAAACGAAACTGTATTCAGGGGAAGTTTTTCACAACAGTTTTCTCCACTGATATGCTTACTGTAAGGACATCAACTTAAACACAATTGTGATCATTTCATTTGTGTTTTTGGGGCAAAATAGATCTATCTGTCTAGACACACACTTTGCAATTCATGCTGTTTTTGGAGTGGGTGAGGGAAGACTTTTTGATGTTTTTTGGTCCTACATTTTCTTATACATTGAGTTTGATGCATATTGTATAGAAATTGCAATATGTTTGTCTATATGGTGTTTTGGAGGGGAAGTATTTGGATTCATTTTGATATATAATTGTTTGTGATATATTGATCTATTTGCTTTCTTCTTTCCTTGTTCTTAGTCTATCTTTTTATAAAACCAGTACACACACACACACACACACACACACACACACACACACACACACACACACACACACACACACACACACACACACACACACACACACACACACACACACACACACACACACACACACACACACACACACACACACACACACACACACACACAGTAGAGACTCTCCCTCACCGGGCTCGGACAGCGCCAGCACTCCTCGCTCGGGGGCGTCTTTACTGATCTCCTCCTCCTCCAGCTGGTACGAGTCGAAGCTGAAGCTCTGCACCACGCCGCTCTCCCTCCCCTCCCTCCCCTCCCTCCACCCCTCCCTGCCTACCTCCCTCCACCCAGCTCTCCCTCCATCCCTCCACACATCCCTCTCCTCGGGCGTCTGAGCCGGCGTTGGCCTGCGACGCTCAGCTCCCACCGAGCCCATCTCTGCGAATCAAGTGACACACGCAAAAACACACTCTTGACTCTACACACTCTTGGGAGCGTGCATGTTTAAAAAAACAATCCCCAAGACAAGCCCAGGAAGAGAGGCCTTCAGATGATGGAGGATCTGCAGGGGGACACAACAGGAGACAGAAGCAGAAACCAAATTAAAATGTGACAGAAGAGGCAGAGATAGGATAAAGAAAACAATCTGTCAGTGCCTTGCTGAAAGTGACAAGACTCAAGGTTAGACACTCCAAAGAAATGCAGTTTGCAGCGTGTGTGTTTGTGTGTGTGGATGTGTGAGAGGCATATTAAATGAGAGAAACAGAGTGACAAAGAATGCATAACTAGGTGGCAGACAAGGTGAGCCAAAAGGCAGCTCTGCATTCAACCAACAGGCACTGCAATATACATCACTGTACAAGGTATAGGAGAGAAGAGATGATAAAACCACAATAATCGCAGTTTTTCACGACCAAATAACAAAAATGCAAAGACCCTTACCGGTTCAAGCTTCCTGGTTGCGAGGACTTGCTCTTTAATGAATATTGTGGTTTGTTTTTACTGTAACAATACTAAGAAACATCAGTTTAGGCCTCCTTAAAATGTAACCAACCACTATTTTTTGACATTTTATATTCAACATATGCTTTAATTTGTCTGATAAGAGTTGTAGTTGAACAGGATATGAAAACAGAAACAGAAATATTAGGAAAATATCTCTCGACACCGGGATGAGAATCAATAGTCAGGTACTAATTTATTCTTGCAAGAAGGAGCAGAGTTAAGTCACATACAAAGGATATGGTTCAACTCACACACATGAGGTATGCTGCTCCAAGGAGCAGGAAGTAACATCAAGCTTATATAGTCTAAAGTCAGGAGGTAACAAACAGTGTCGTAAATTAGTTTGGCGTCATCAGGTGTCGGGAAGGCGTCGGGACATCTCTGGAAAGGCAGTGTTGTTCTTTGCCCCTCAAAGAGGAGAGGAGACAAAGTGTGTGTGCTCTCGTTGGTATCAACAACATGAATTATGCCCTGCCTTCTCCTATCTACGAAGAGGCAGCTGCAAGGTCACACACAGTATCATGCCCATCAGAAAACCCATAATAAAGAAGACACCTTGTATATTCTCCAACAAGAAACATAAAGTTGTTTAAAAATAAATCAGCTGACAGCAACTTAATCAGCTAATGCATTCTGGGCAATTCAAGGTAAAGTAACACAAAATACTAGCTACAAGTGTAAAAGGCTGCTGTGGTTTACTATACATTCATCATCATGCCATACAGCCACTTAATCTGACACTATTTTCATGATTAACGATGTAATCTTCTGAACTATAAAACCTTAGGTAATACTGCAAGATGTCCTTTAAAAAGCATTCACATATTTACATTGCTTGTTTTTTATTGTCCAACGCTACGGTGGCCAGCAGGTGGCCAGCAGGTACCAACGCGCTACAACGGCTCAAAACATCTTCATCAACTTGATGAAACGTGCAGCGTTTACATCAGCACTAAGTAAACAAAACATTGCAAATACAAAATTCTGCAAATACAAATGTGAATGTCAACAAGTGTTTCCCTGGTTTCCGTTGTATTTCAACCTTCTTGCAGCGTGTTGTGTTTGCAGCATTTCTTGCATGCAACGCTTTTAGTAAACCCTGCGCATGTTTCATCCACTTCGTGAAGATGTTTCTTCATTTGCATGTGTTTTGTCACAATCTACAGCGCGTTTCCACTAATGGAAATGTTTTTGGGCCGCTGTAACACGTTGGCACCTGTCGGCCATCGTACAAATCCCAAAGATATTGCAGTTACTTCAATAAGAAATACTTACATCGGGAAATCAATCAACCAAATAATTTCTGATAATTTTTATGAGCATTAATTTAATTTAATTTAATTTATATATTCAGCAAAGTAATCCAACACCTTCCCCCAATATTAAATGACAAAAAAACAATACAGGCCTCTTCTCTGTCATCACAGCAGCTGAAACATGGCTCAATAACCGGGCTTCATTCACTCGAGTCAACAAGGAACTGTTATTGTTACAGGGTGGATCAATAGAAATGGGTATTGACTTTGCTCCATCTGCAAACACGCAGACTAAAAAGCTCCTCTACACTCACACCTGTACGGTTACACAAACACTTGCACACAATTCATCTCTGTCACCAACATCCAGCCTCACCTCTGATGCCCTGCAGGCAGATTGCCCTACAAAATAAAAGCAGCACAGTCATGGGAGCTGCTTAGTGAGATCCTATTTTAAAACCCCAGCTGCAGCATGATGTAAGAAGGTGTTCATCTCTGTAATTGTTTTGCACTCATGGCTTCCATGCAGAACCACAGTGTGCCTCTCCTGGATATAAACCCTGGAAGCATATTGAGAAAAAGCTTGTGTGTTTTTAAATCTAATAATGATGCCAATTCACGTCTCACATACTGAGCCACCTGCAATTTCCGGTTCCAGACTAGAGGAGGCGCTCTCTGCCTTCCTCCATTACATTAAAAAGCTCCAGCCTGCGACCATAATTAAATTGCAGTCTAATGTCACGCTGCAGTTTCTATTGTTTTACTCCAATAATGATAAAATGAGCTTAAAGAGTGAGCAAAAAAACTTGATTTTACAAAAAAAGCTTGGAAATAGTATATTTTTACATTTGTGTTAAATCTCACTCCAAATGAATTAATCTTTGCCTATTTTCCTCGTTACTAAACAGCAACATGAATTGCAATTGATTACATGTAAAAACACGACGTCTGAGCTGTGGATCACACACACACACACACACACAGATCCACTCTCAGTTTATTCCGCTTCTTATTTTTACTAAATCATCATAAAAAAAGATGCAAATCAAGTCCAACAAGGTTTAAATATCGCTTTGTATCTCCATCCGTGTGTATTTGCTTCCCATCGCGACTCAAATGGAAAATAAAAACACACCAACAACAGGTTCCTGATGCCCCCCCCCCCTTACCTCCAGTGGCTCCCCGGTTTCCTGCCCTCTCCTCTCGGCTTTTCACAGCCGCAGGTCGGGGTCTGTGCTGCGGGATCTTCGAGGGTCTCTTCCGGCCGGAGCTTGTCCCTCTTCAGCCCGGATCCGTCAGACAGAAACCCCCGGTGTAGTCCGTCCTGTAAGCGCTCCTCACGCACCATCCAGAGAGGAGGAAGCGTGGAGGGATGGATGAGGACAGCGAGAAGGGGGAGGAGAGAGGGTGAGGAAGAGGAGGAAGAGGAGGAAGAGGAGGGGGTTGTTTCCTCTGGCTCTGGTTCATTTTTTGCAATCAGTCTCTTCAAACGCACTATTAGACATGAGGATGAAACCAGCGAAATGTTTAATAACTTTTTCTCCCCTCAGAAAACACTTTGCATCTTGCTTTTGAATCATTAGTGTTTCTGTAGTCATCGGAGGAAGTGGGATGCAATCAACCTGGGATTAAAAGGCAGGAAAAAGACTAAATGTTTTAATAATGTGTCTTACTTTATTTCACCATTTAAACCACACCAAATATTCCCTTGTTATGGTGCATTCATTGAACGATAAGGCTTTATTATCACAAGCTCCTCCAACAATGCAACATACAATAAACGAAAGACAATAAAATAGTGCAAGTGACATACTGCTGCAAGCAGAGGCGTAACTATCGACGGTGCAGCCGGTGCAACGGGGCCCCAATGGCATTGACCGGTTCACGCAGTCTTCAAAGTAACCAAGCAACCTAAATTAATTTGTAATTTGTCTGTCCAATGACCTTGCTCCCTTTCATGTCATGTGATACCTTGCGTGATGAACGAACCATTTAATCAACCTGTACTGTACTGTAGCTAGCAGCAGCAAGTTCGGCAGCATTATAAAAAATGTAATAGCTTGCATTTATAATGTACAGCAAATCAAAGCACAAGAGCGGCGCTCAAAAGAGAAAGGACAAGAGAGAGTGTATGTCCGTGCGTGTGTGAGTGCATCAGCGTGCGCTTATGTTTGGGGCGATGGGGGGGGGGCCCAAAACAATATTTGCACCGGGGCCAATCACAACCTTGTTACGCCACTGGGTGCAAGAATAACAAAACGACATGCAAGTAAAATGAAATGAGATAAAACAGAATGTGAAATTAAGTGCTGCAGCAGTAAAACATACTGTAGGCTATATTGTAATAATATAAAATAATGGGTGGACTATAAAGGGATTTGCACAGCAATAGCGCAAGTGTGAATATTGTAGTACATGACTCATTCACTGAGGAAACTAATCATTTGTAGACACGGCGTGAGCCCCTATTGGGATTGGATGTATACAGGGAACTGAATCAGCGTTTTTAGGAAAGTTGCTCTGTGGCGCTTTATGACAAATAAGTTTGCCTTCAGAGTAAAAAATATCCACAATTTTTGCAGATCTTCCAAATCCATGGGGCCCAAAGAGCAAGCACCTGTGTTTTCATTTAAATAAGTCGATCTTTGACTTGCTTTGTATCTTAAGTTTCATATTAAACCAAAGCCAGGTACGTAAGTCATGTAAGAAACGTTCAGTTTTTAAACCAAACCACACGCGTTTTCCTAAACCAACTATGTATAGGTCTTGTTTTGTTGCCTAAACAGGTGAATCGATGCCATTGCAATGATCATTTTGCTTGACTTTGGAAGAGAAAGCAAGAACAAAAACGTTTCCTAAGAGATATATGAACCTCTGTTTGACGATACTTTGCATAATTATGATAGACAAGATCTTGATACAAATTAATAAACAGGATCAGATGGCCAGGAGGTCCTGCAGGAACATTATAAAGCTGAGACATTCAACATTTACTCTTATCTATCTAATATCTATCTTTCATATTGGGATGGTGTGAAAAAAAATGTGAGCTGCATAAGCGAATAGATAAGAAACAATGGATACAAAAGAAAAAAGAACCATAGAGAACACACATACACACACACACACACACACACACTCACACACACACACACACACACACACACACACACACACACACACACACACACACCAACACAATGCTCTGGCACCGTAGCCTGTGTGATTGACAGTTCTATCAGCTCAGTTCAATATGCTAATGCTGTATTATTGGCAGTGGCTCCGTGATATTGCACACCCCCACTACCACAGAGGAGCAAAGCCTGATGGGAATTTGCTAAATGGTGTAGCTGTCTCTGTAGGTGTGCAGCATCACAACAGACCCAGGATCTGCTGCTAAACTGCAGGATGTGTGAGGCTGTGGGTTTGAATCCCATTATTTAGAGCAGGGGTGTCAAACTCAATTTCATCGCGGGCCACATTCGCATAAAGGTTGCACTCAAAGGGCCGGTTGTAACTATATAAATATATAATATATATATAAAATAATGTATTATATTACATTATTGCCTCTGAATTGGATTATTATCGGATAGGATAATAACTTAGTAATTAACTACGTCTGAAAGCAGAAGTCCAGGGCAAATAATTGCAAGTCTCTTCAGTGTGCCATGTCACAAAACGAGATGCATTGTGGGACATGTAGTTTATGGGCAACCTGCTTCTGTAAAGTGGCATGGAACCGTATAATAAACGTATTATATTCTTTGCAAGCTCTGACGGGGCCACATAAAATGAAGTCGCGGGCCGGATTTGGCCCCCGGGCCTTGAGTTTGAGACCCCTGATTTAGAGCCTCTGTCTTTGCATGCAGTGTGTCAGAGAAACACTTTTCTTTCTCCTAATGCAGAATCTGTTCACCTTTTAGCTCATCATCACAAATCACATTAAAGATCAGCTGTAAATCAGGATGATGATGAAGTGCATCATGTAACAGGTTTATCCCATCAGAATCATTCATCTGTTCTCCAGTAGATTAGCATTTACACGTAGTGTCATGCTGATCTTTTGAAGATTATTTACAGAGAGCATTCCCTTTGATACTCTGCCATTTTGTAATTCTGATATCATCATCATCATCATCCTGTGTACTGGTACATTTTGTACGAGGAATAACACATCCAGTGATGTCTAATATGTTGAGAGAACACACAAAGTAAAGACAAACTGGAAGACCAAAATTAAATATTGACACTGTGTAAATAGGATAATGTTTGTATTATATTGGAAGAAGCTCACTATATGCACCACGAGTACGCTGCACATCAAAATCAGGCCCTAACAAAACATATTATGCTCATTTCCAGGTTGCTATTTTAGCCTTTGCAGACCATTTACATGCACAAAAACCAATATTACACACTACAGGAAAGGGAAAACCACCAAAAGCATAACATGGTCTCTTTAATATTCTTCATAAGGAAATAAATAAACCTTTTTCCTCCTAAATCTCTTCAGTTATACATTGCTATCCAAGAATATACGAACACAATTTCCAGCCAAAGTGATGAAAAGATGGCATTGAAAGCTCGAGAAACACATTTGAAACGGCGCTTTCCGGACAATAAGGAAACACTAATCTGCGATTGATCAAACTGCGATTTATGCGACATACAAACATCTCTGGTGGCCCAGCAGGCGTTTTGATGCTGGTCCAGAAACTCGTTCTTTGGTTGAATTTAATCTGCGTCAAATCCTCTTGATCACGAGGGCGTTGTTTTCTGTCTTCTTATCTCTTTACCTGTCTGTGTGTTCACCTGTCTCCCACTTTACCTGTCTGTCTGTAATTCAGTTGCCAAGTTTGTTTGTTTGTTTATTTTCAGTCTCTTTTTGGCTGCTTGCCTGCCTTTCTCTTTCTCTTTCTGTTTATTTTTGTGATTTCTTTTTTGTTCAGCTCGAGGAAAGACTTGCAGCTCCGGATTTATGCCGCGTGTTGAATAGTAACTGTTTGTTATTTTAGCCCATAGCAATCTGTCCAAAAATAATTGTTTTGGGTGTGTGTGTGTGTGTGTGTGTGTGTGTGTGTGTGTGTGTGTGTGTGTGTGTGTGTGTGTGTGTGTGTGTGTGTGTGTGTGTGTGTGTGTGTGGGTGTGTGTGGGTCCCTTAAATATTTTTCTCTTCAGCTCTTTGTCATGAATGTGTAAAAAGGTCAGACCATGTTACACCTCCTTCACTTAAATGGAATTTTCCTTACAATCAACACCCAGCAGATTGCACTTTCGAGCTTGAAGTGTGTGTGTGTGTGTGTGTGTGTGTGTGTGTGTGTGTGTGTGTGTGTGTGTGTGTGTGTGTGTGTGTGTGCGTGTGTGCGTGTGTGCGTGTGTGTGTGTGTGTGTGCGTGTGTGTGTGTGTGTGCGTGTGTGTGCGTGTGTGTGCGTGTATCATGTTGTGGTGACTTTCCCAAGGACACTAGTAAATGTTGTCATGGATCGAACCCCTCATTTGCAAATCAGCGTACAAATACCCTGGGCCTCCGAACATAACCCAATCCCCATGAGGTAAATGATGACCTTTTAGGGTGAATATTTTGAGGTTTTAGGTAAGGTGAGGTTTAGGAAACTAGAGTCGGGGTAACATAAGTCTACACACTTTAGAGTGACAACTTGTTTTAAGTAAAGGTTAGGTTTGTTTAAGCAGTGTGTGTGTGTGTGTTTGTTTGTGTCATGTTCTGGGGACTTGCTTTAAGATTAATGTTAGGTTTAGGCAAGTAGCATAAAGCGTAAGGAACTATGATTGTGTGTGTGTGTGTGTGTGTGTGTGTGTGTGTGTGTGTGTGTGTGTGTGTGTGTGTGTGTGTGTGTGTGTGTGTGTGTGTGTGTGTGTGTGTGTGTGTGTGTGTGTGTCTCCCTCCTTCCAGCCTGGTAAAGTGCTGAGCCCTGAGAGTTTCTATATTTAGCTGCTGGTTCAATCAATGACGGCAGATCCACAGCGCCATGACTCTGCATACTGATACTGATAGTACTACTGCCTGTCGCCCAACTCCACTCACCTCTGGAGTGAGAGGGAAACAATCAAAGAAAGATGGGCAACATTTGAGAAGGAATGACAAGAAAATGAGAGCAAAGCCGGCAAAAGAAATACAAAAATGCAAAGACAGAGAGACAGATGGAGCGTTAATCCGATCACACGGTTACAGGAAGATAGGAATAGGCACCTGGAGGAAAGGAAAGGAGACGGTAATGATGTGTGAAGCAGGCAGGTGAGGAAGAGGAGGGATGAAAGGAAAGAGACAGGTGTAAACACAGAGGAAGAGGGACCGAGGGATGAGGACAGATGGAGAAAGACGACGGTGGTGAAAGAGAAAGAACAGGT